CAGAAGGTCAAAAGTGAAGTTATATTTATATTATTCTGAACTATATATTATCTCCTCTTCAGGGTTTGTAAATGGGTAGGTCAATATGAACACACATGTGCATGATTTTGTACAAGTGATACCTCTCTCGACCTTAAGGGAGGAGGTGATTAAAGAACTCTCAAAGCCTTTCTCTGAAGAGGAGATATCTAGAACTATTTGAGCTTTGCCCTGAGGAAAGAGCCCAGGGTCAGATGGCTATATAGGTTTATTTTATAAACTTTTACGGAAACCTTTATTACCTACTTTAAAGGAGGCCTTTAACTCTATATTAGAGGACTGTCCCTTTCCAAGACGAGCTCAGGAAGCATCTATTACAGTAATTCCTAAGGAAAATACAGATAATACATTGTGCACAATTAGTAGATGAGAGACTGAAGATTGACTGTGCCTTTGCTGTTAGGAGTCCCCTCTGGGCATGGATGCCAAGTTTTTCTCCCCTTCCCTTATGTTGTTTTTCTTCTCTTTTATTTTACATGCGGAATTATAGTTAGCTTCCCCTTCTGCTCTATAGTACCTTATTACCATAAGGCACTAGAATAATTTGGGTAGAGGGGGTTTCAAGGAGAGGATATTGATTGAAAATTTTTCTCACTGCTATTTTGATGTGACGTTATAACTCTCTGTACTTTGGGAAAGCTGAATTTCTGTGGTTTTGTTGATGTTTGTTTTATGTTATAATATAAATAAATGGCATATATTGGCAAAAAACAAAAGCAGTGACAGTGAAGTCATGCTCAGTGTATGTGCTTCTTGAATGACATCAGGCTGCTCTTTGAATTACATCAGGCTGCCCTTAAACAGATAAGTTAAATTTAGTTTAGGCCATCTTAAAATTCCAGACCCAACATCTGCTAGTCTAATCCCTTTGATCTTTATAGCCTATAAAATAATGACTTTTGACCTGACTCGTTTATTCAAGATTTCAAAATGCTGGGGTGTGAATTAGCCCTAATGAAAAACTAGCAGATGCCCCAATTAATTAGACAGCTTTGCAAATCTCCCAACTATCGCCTAGCCTGATAACAAGGGAATGACAGGTATCTCGCTCCATCTAATAAAAGCGCTAGACCTTAATAGTTAATATATATGTAGCTATTTAATTTAAAATGAAGCATGCACATATCAAACTTGGTGGATCTGGAAGGTCCAGAGGTCTAAAGACCCACATTACCTCTTCTGAGTCAGGCATACAACACACAATAATCTATGGTGTTTCAGGCGATATTCGGTGAAACTATAGGAATATGTCTATTGATATGACATTGACAGTTTGGCAGAGGAGAAGATAATAAAGTGTTCAGCCCTACTTCTCACTACCCCTGATTATTCCTCATTGGGAAAAGGGTCAGTTCAGTGATGGAAGCTCTTGTTTTAACATAAAAAAATAAGGATAATTGTGTAGGATCAGTGAAAAAGCCCCCTTTAAGAAAAGAACGTTTGCAAGCCTTACTTTGAGGAAGGGCCATCTGGATCCATCTTCTGTTGCAATAAACTGATAGAACTCACAAAAACCAGGACTTGTTAAGTACTCACAGTTTTATTCTTTTTCATTGTTTTTGTTGCATCACAGGCATTGTTTAAGTTTCTCAATTGTCATAGCACTTGTTGGGAATGATTTGTGTTTCCATTTAAACATGTGGTAGCAGCTGTTATTTGGTGTAAACGGTTAATTGTAGAGTTAACCAAACCCCAGTGAAGATTACTCTCTGTCTTCTGACCTTATATCGCTGTCCCACCAGTTGTGAAATCTCTGTGCAGGGTGCTGCTGAGAGTGGTATCGGCATGTCACACTGATGGCATGGTAGGATTGAAACTTTGTATAGTTGCTTGTTGGTGACGTCCAGAAGGTTTAGACCAGCTGCTACCGTTACACCCACAATTATCACAGTACCCACAATTTTCATAACACAAATACAGTGTCCATAATTATCACAGTACAACAAAAGTGCCCACAATTATTACAGCACAGCAACAGTGCCCACAATTATTAAAGGAAAGCCCACATTTCTTACAGTACTGCCCGCAATTCTTACAGTACACCTACAGTACCTACAATTATCACAGCAACAAGCAACAGTCCCTACAATTATCACAGTACACTTGCACACATGTCCCATGCCTCCTCCATGCTACATACACAATGTCCTCATCTACTCTCCCCCACTCTCCTCCTGCTCACAGATCACTGATTACAGATCCCAGACATCCTCACTGCTCCTGGGTTATGGCTCCCCCACAGCTCTCATGCAACCATTCCTGTGAGCCCACTCAGCAGCAGTACACTCCCTCATCACCACTCAGCCACACATGCAGAACTTCAGCTTTGCCCACACTTCCAGCATCCACCGCTCAGCCTCACACACACTGTCCCATATCCATTATTCAACCTTGCACACACACCAACCTGTGTCCACTGCTCAGCCTCACACACACATCACCCCATGCTTTCTCCTCACTTGCTTCTGCTATGCTTCCGGCTGAACAAATTTAATTCTCCGATCCCCTGATCAAAATGTCCAAGTAATCCCATCATCATCATATTTTAGCCGGTAGGTGACATGTCCACAAAATGCTGATGATGATGGAGACCACACTCTCCACCCATCATCCAATATGTAAAAATGCATACACCATATCTACTTCCTGCTTCTGATGATACGTTCTTCCATCAAGTCTAAATAAATTCTTCGCCAGTAGGGAGGAACTCAGGTGCTGACCAAATATGGTCAAAACTTGAGCTCCTTTGAGCAAGGAAATGTCATGGGCACATCCACCCTATCAGCTGTAGGTCAGGTATTACTGCAGTGCATGTAAACAGAGGGACAGGATGATTTTGCTGGCATCATTTACCTTATATCTACCAAATATAGGCACATAGCCATATAAGTTCAATGACATAATTGCAGCCCACCCCTTTTCTTATGTCAAGCTGCAGTTGGGGTATTCCATGCCAGAAGACGATTGGGGGAGTAGTTCCTTCCAGATTCAGAAGAGCTCATGTTCAGATATTTTTCGATATGAATCTAAACTCATTGTATGCATCAGTACAAACTTAATCGTACTGACAATGGAATAATTAAATCCGTTCTTATTATTGTACACCTGCTTACAATCCTACCCCATGTGGGATGGACTTAGATACATGATCTACAAGCTCTTCAACCAGAATATACTCACCTTCAATCTACACATGTTGTAATCTCTACAGGACTCAGTTAGAGCTTTGTAAGCATGACCTTATTTCTTTACTACATGTTGTAATTTTGCATCCAAATACTATCCTACCCCTTCTATGATAGGGTCACCATGGGGGCTGGTTGAATTTTGTGGATTGTCAGATTAATATAGAGAGTTGGAGTGGTATATTCTCTAAGCACAAGGTTTTTGAGTTCTTTTACCAGTAAGATTCCTTCAACATACCCCCACTGCTACCGTTACACCCACAATTATCACTCCTTTTTAAATCCTTGACCATCCTCAGAAAAGGACTACATTAATCTCGGATAATTTGATGAATCCATCAACAACATCCAATTTTTAAATTGTTCCACCAACATCTTGACATTATTTCCCCTTATTTTTACCTTTAATTTTTTAAAGGCTCAGATGGGGAAGTCCTTTCTCTAAGTCCCTGTGGTACCATACCTACTTTAAAATATTGTACCAAAGGAGCAATGTCCTATTTAAAACTTAGCTGTTAATTACCAAAATTGTTATGTCACCTAAACAAAGTTTTTCTATTTTTAAAGTGAATTTCTCTATGCAAAGTTAAATGCAGTAAAGCAGTTATCACTTCAAACATTGAATCGAGCAAAAACCCTGCGTTTTTCTTGCATATTATTGGGTATTCTTTGCCTAAATAAATTTTCAACACATCCAATTAGCTAAGTTAATATTTCCTTGCAAAGTAAAATATTCATTTTGAAAGAGAACACACTCTACTCCTTTAGTAAATCAGAGCCTTTGTATAACATGTTGTTCTCCTAAAAAAAACGAAGGAAGGAAAGTTAGCTTAGAGAAAGCTTAGAATTAGACCCGAGGCTGTAATGCCACCCAAACACACATGCAAGAATATAATGCAACATGGCTAAAATGATCCTTAAGGTAAGATAAATGGAGTTGACTTTTTTGAAACCAGTTTAAATATGTTCTGATTATAATTAGCAGTTCATTATTTGGTTTATTTTCTTGGCCTCGGGTTGTCCCTTTAAAATTAAATTAAAGAGTGAATAACATTCATTTTTGGCATATGGTCCTTCTTAATTTTCTGGTTTTCTAGTTTCATAAATAGTATTTGTAATCATTTATATTGTTTTTTATCTTAGGCCCCAAGAGGTCGATGTTCTGCAGAATGTCTTCCAGGGTTTAGAAAAGCTCTAAGGGATGGGTACCATGTATGCTGTTATGACTGTGTTCAGTGTTCAGAGGGAGAAATATCAATCCATTCTGGTAATCTTTGTGTTCCTTGCAAAATTATACGGAATGTATTTTGGTTTTAAATATTTAAGAAACAAAGAAGTTTTTTTCCACTTTGACCAGTAATACTTTTAAAACAAATTCTTGCTATAGATATGAAGTGCTAATTTTATTCTGCAGTTTTCCCCTGTTATATTGACACCAAAATAATGTTTGTGGTACAAAAAAGAAAAACATTTAGATATCTATTAATAGCATTCTAAAAATTGCTTATCTTTTATGTTCACATCACAGAAAAGGGCATGTTAATTTACCTTCCTGCTGAGAACTAGGAATACACATAAGTTTGTGTTCTGAGTTTTCATACCCACTGTCAATTGGAGAGCTGAGTCGTAGAGGTATTGTCAAGTTAACTGACACATACCAACACTGGTAAACCAGATCTGGGTGTCTAACTTTCAATAAACTCTGGTCACAAGAAGGTTTGGTGGCAGCATTCATTGTACATTATGCACATTTTTCAGTATATTTTTCTTCTACAGATAGTGAAAACTGCCAGATGTGTCCTGAAGATCAATGGCCTAATGAGGCTAGAAATATTTGTGTTGCCAAATGTTATGAGTATTTGTCATATGAGAAGGACATTGTGGTTGTATTTCTTTCTGCATTTTCAGTCATATTTTCTGCTACATCTCTCTCTATACTTGGAATGTTTGTTTGGTTTCGGAGCACTCCCATAGTCAGAGCCAATAACAGGAACCTCAGCTTCATTCTGCTCTTCTCTCTCATGCTGAGTTTCCTTTCTGTTTTCCTGTTCCTTGGACATCCGGTGGATATAACTTGTATGCTGCAACAAGTCTTCTTTGGAATTGTCTTCACAGTCTCTCTGTCTTCTATCCTAGCCAAAACCATCATGGTTTTTATTGCTTTTAAAGCCACCAGACCTGGAAGCTCCTGTAGGAAATGGGTGGGAGTCAAACTTCCCAAAACAGTCCTGTTGTTCTGCTCATTAATTCAGGTTATGATTGGTGTTTTCTGGTTGTCCATCTCTCCACCATCTCAAGAGTATGACATGCACTCCTATCCTGGGAAGATCATCATTCAGTGTAATGAAGGGTCAGTTATCTGGTTTTACTCTATGTTGGGTTATATGGGGTTTCTGGCAGCTGTGAGTTTTGTTCTGGCTTTCATGGTGAGGACATTACCAGACAGTTTTAATGAGGCCAAGTACATCACCTTCAGCATGTTGGTCTTCTGCAGTGTCTGGATTGCCATGATTCCGGCTTATCTGTGTACCAGAGGAAAGTATACAGTAGCTGTGGAGATATTCGCCATACTGATCTCCAGTGCTGGAATATTAGTCTGTATATTTTCTCCAAAATTGTATATTCTACTTTTCAACCCTAAGCTAAACACAAGAAAATACATGCTGGCAGGAAGAATGATATAAAATATTCTTTGGTAAATAAATATTTATTAACTCTTCATCATTACAAACAGAAATTTTCACATAACATTAAATAATTCACATGACACAAAACGCAAATCATAAAAACTAACTCTCCAAAACAGAGTACATCAATTTCCAATACATAGTCGTTATTACTCTACTATACTCGTGTTGGCCTTAATGCAACTCTAAACATATATTTGTATCTTTATCACAGAAACCATACAAAATATTTATTATTTAACCTCTAATTAACCCTTTGTTTATGTCTATAATAAAATACTTCATATAAAAGAAAAAAAAAAAAGGAAGGCTATTGTATATTACTATGTTCCTATTATATACCTATTGTACTGTTCTTATTGCCAGGTTTACCATTATACATTCTATACCTCTATATTTGACATCCAAAATACCTAAATTGGGAGGAATATAATAAGAGCCCTTTTTACCTACGTATGTGACTTTAGAAACACTATTTAAATGAACAGACTATACTGTACTTTATAGGTTATGTGTAAAACCTATAAGTACATACAAATAATGTGAACAAAAGTGGGTATTCCAATTCTACATCACTAAATATATCAGTGTAACTGTGTAAGAATATCTAAAAGGTTAAAAAAAAAACTCCTTGTGCACATTAATCTCAATCCTTGTGCACCCAATACCCCTTTCCCTCTTATACCAATGGGGGAAATGTAAAGACCCCCCTTCCTACCTATTTAAACATTTTATATTTAAAGTGAAGTGACAATTTTAAGTTTCCCTACACCCTATTCCCTACCCCGTCTCTCCCCCACACATCCCTCCCTCCACCTTCTCCTCCCCTTTCTTTTGATCGGTATATCTTCTCATAACTTAAAAGCTAACTCCATTATGCGGACCTGTAGACCAAAGTGTGGAAATATAATTGCATTAATTCCCTCCCCCATTTAAAAAAACGAAACTCTAACATTAAAACTAAAGCATAAAACATGAGGGACTCACTAAAAAGATGCTTTTAGAATAAATCAATTAGGCTGATTAATCAATACTAGACAAAACTAAATATCTCAAGGTAAACAGTAAAAAAGAGGACTCATCTATATATTCTTATCAGTCTGGGGGCATAAGCTTAGGAGATAAGGGCCATATTTAAGGCTTAGCCACCTGATGACCCTTCAAGACCCAAATAGGGTACCCCACCTAAGCTGATGACTTTCACTCATGTTATTACCTAGGCAACTATCTGCTAACAAAACTTGGAACTCCTTCATAACTTTATATTCCTTCTAACCCGACCAAATGTTTATCTAGCCGATCATTATCTTCTGCAATCAGCCTTTCCATTTCCATCATATCATCCGTAAGACCCATGCAGCATTCTAATGTCGGAATCACTTTTGTTTTCCAACAATGAGATATAAATACTCTGGCAGTCGATAGGCAAAACCAATGTATATTTTTTTTTATTACTCTTAATGGAACCCAGTAAGAGTGAAAGGAAAGCAACTTGTGGTCGCAACTCCACCAAATATGTGAATAAGATCTCTCCACATATAGACATCTCCAGCATTGGTCAGAGGTAGTTAGATATATATGATGTAATATTTTTGGGCACTTGTACCATCTAGTCACTATTTTATAATACTTCTCCTGATGATATGATGGGGAGTGTCAGCTTAAAGATCTTATTCCACTCGGCATCTGAGAAATCCCTATCAAGGTCCTGTACCAATGCTGTCATAAATGGTGCATTTCCAGATGCCCTACTCCCTCTTCATATATTATATATAGATGATAACACATGGTCAACAGGTTCAGCCAACATACACAAACTTTGAAAAGATGGCAAAGGTATGACTATATCTGAACCCGGCCTTAAGGAACTAACAAAATCCAGTAGTTGCATCGCCTCAAACCAAAGCTTTCCAGTAAGCTGTGCTGAAGGCACCCGCTCCCTTTTCACCTCATTGCTTCCTGGGTGAAAAACACGCCTCACCTGGAAAAGCAAACTACTTTCTTTCAGAAACTTGAAACAGTGCATGTCGTGAGGAATTTAAAGGTTAATAAAATGGGCACAAGAGGACTTGGCCATGAAGAGAGATTAAAATGATTAATAGACAAGTCCCAAACATACAGAACCTGGGTCAACAAGAAAGAAAAATATGATATTGGAGGCCTATAACTAGAATGAATCCACTGAACATTAAGGGGTCTATTCACGAAGCTGCCGAAGGATCTGGCCGTAGCTTCGGCCGATCCTTCGGCTAGCTTCGGCCCCAGGACCCCTTCGGTTCACAATAGCAAGTATTATTTTTCCAACTAGACGGAAATAAGCACCTAACCCTTACAGTGCGGGGGTTGGTCCACATCAAGGGTTAAGACATTTTTTTCTTTAAAATGTACAGAAAAAAATAAAATGTTTGCAAGACAATATTACAAAAGAAAACCTGTCTAGTATTAATGGAGAATGTGAAAACCCCAGCAAAGGAAGTATTGTACTGCTCATGCATTTGACTTTGTGCTATGCAATGACTGGTGCATGAGATTCCACATACCAGAGATTGGTATAGAGATTTTAGTGATAAGCACTCACACAAATGCTGCTTCTTTATGATAGCTGAGTGTATGGGGATTTTTTGGCAATTCGTTTATCTCACTGCATGTAAATTGTATTGCTTAGCAGGCCAGACACATTGTTTTATTTTTTGTTTTTTGATGGAATTAATTTTTTTAATAAAATGTTGATCTGCATTCTGTATTGCACTTGATAGGGACTGAAGGCACACAAGCAGCATTATTTAGATGTCTAACACCCAAAGAAAATGAATAGTTAATGTGAAAGAGATATGATAACATTTGTATGATGACAGTTTGTATTGGAAAGCAGATGGTGATCAGTAAATTCAGAGTCTGCTTCCTGGGGGAATCCGGCAGAAACTTTCATCCAGTAAAATATCACATTTGTTCTTTGGTGACTCTTTTGTTGTTCTTTTATTCTATTATGAGCGGAGCGGTCCCACCACTGTAATCATGTGTTGAGTTTTTGGATATCTCTAGTGAGCCGCTCAGCTCAGGTGTCCGTAGTCCCAAAGGAACTGCACAGAGAAGGTTTCACATCTCTCTAAAAATGAACAATGATGTAAACTGCTTTACTATTCTGTACAATCTGCTGCAATGTTTGGAATACGTCACATCAGGTGAATTGAAGACAAAAGGAATATTACTGTACTTTACTGATTTTACTGTATAAGACACAAGAGATACAAAATTCTAAATGTGTCTCTAAACTGACTTCAGTGAGCAGGTGAAGAAAAGTAAATTCAGATTCCATTCCCTGAGAGATTGTCCAGAAACTTTCATCCAATAGAACAAACTCTGACTGTTCTCTGAAGACGATGTTTAATAATAATTTACTAAAGAAATGCTTTCCAGGATGAGCAATGCTGAGAGAAATACAAAAAATTAAATAAAATGTAGGCATTTTCTTTTGCAGGATATTCAGAATATATTATAGTTAAAATTCAATAGCAAATATACAAAAAAGTGCATTATATTAAAAGTCAAAATATACTGTTCATTAAAATACAAATAATAATATTAGTAATAATAATTACAATAAAGTTGATAAATAATGGACTAGATGAATTTCTGATTTGTGAAGTCAGTGATGTAATATATTCATTATAGTATGTGGATCCAATCTAGATACTGTATCAACACATCACATCCCACAATTGTAAGAGTTAAATACAAAATGGTGCTCAACTATTGGGACTTTCCGGGTGCTACATATTATGACAAGACATACATAAAATATTATTTTATTTTTATCAAATTTAAAAGTTTTTTTGCAATTGAAATAAAAAGTTGGCATCCCCATCCAGCACTGATATCCTTAACATCACATGTTAAAAGCTTAATAAAACACAATAGAATGATAGCAATTTAGCTGTCCAGACATCAAAATTGCAATCATTTCTTGGTTGCATTACTAGGCTTTTAATATGTGGTATTTAGGTTATCCGTGCTTGGAAGCAGATGTTATCTTTGTATATTGATTGAGCAGAGTCTTTTACATTTGTTATAAATAGAACAATATTTTATTATATACATGTCTTGTCATAATATGTAGCACATGAAATATCCCAATGGTTGAGCTTCATTTTTTTATTGCATTTTTAAGATTATGTAATATGTATGGATGGTTTGTTTATGAAATGCATCTAAAGGGACTAATTGCTTGATTTTATTTTTTACCCACTTCAGTTCTCACAACTGTGCACAGTCTAAGGACCAGAACAATTTTTAATTTCCATATGGGACTATTGATTTGGCAATAACTTTGGGGTCTATTCACAAAGCTGCCGAAGGATCTGGCCGTAGCTTCGGCCGATCCTCCGGCTAGCTTCGGCCCCAGGACCCCTTCGGTTCAGGAGAACCGAGGGGGTGCTGTACGGGCTATTCACTATAGCCCTACAACTCCCGATCATGGCCGAGCGGCTCAGTCGAGCCGATCGCATATGCAT